CATCATCCGTTCTCCCTGTACAAATGCTAGAGATCATCCATTGAACTCATCCGACTCCTGATGACTGGGGCTCGGGCATCCTTGTACCCACCTTCAAGAGAGAAGATGAGACTAGATACGAGAACTTCCGCGGCATAAGCCTTAGCAAAGTTGTTGCGAAGATCTTCGTTATTGTCCTACTCAAGCGATTCCAGGCTGTGCGTGACTCTAGGACGAGGCCCAACCAAGCCGGATTTCGTGCTGGACGTGGATGCGTAGACCAGGTATTCACACTAAGGCGCACTCTCGAATTTCGCCATAGCTACCAGTGACCGACGTCTGTCTGCTTTGTTGACTTCGCCGCCGCGTTCGATTCCGTCCATCGTGAGTCCCTATGGCGGATAATGGCATTTGATGACGCACCGCCAAAAATCATCGCCATGATCAAGGCCTATTATCGCTCCACCACATCGCGAGTCCTGATCCATAAAGCCAACCGTTTGCTATTCGGCCTAGCGTTCGACAGGGTTGTATCCTGTCGTCCATTCTGTTCAACTACGCTACTGATTGGATTCTCGGGAGGATCCTACACGAAGATGACGGTGCTGAGTTTGCATCCGTACACCGGCTGATTGATCTGAACTATGCTCATCGTATCGCCTTTCTAATTTCAAGATTTGGCCATCTGCAGTCTGTCGTGCCACGGGTAAACGTGGTCACTAAATCGATTGGTTTATCCATAATTGCTGGGAGCGCTACCTATCCCTACCTACCTAGTGCGAGGGATGAACTTTTCGCAAACATTTAAATTAGCATCCTGAATGATTTAGAATGCAAACGTGCCCGTAAAAGGGAATTACAACAAACTTTGAAATAGGGAATACAGAAAATATTGGTGAGCATGCTGTTCGCCAGTTGCTTGTTATATCGGCGGGCCACCAAATGCATACCGCCTAAAAGTGTGGAATGCACTGTCCTTATTGCGGATATAACCGTTTGTCCAACGATTTTCTAAACAAATCGTGCAGTTAGCTCACGCATGCATCTAGTGGGTCGATTATGGATGGCGGGCAATCATAATTGGGCAGGAATACATTTGTGATCGCTGTCTAAGTCTGATTTATTTCTGTGCGGAGGGTAAGATATGAATTCCTACTGTTTCCTTCTCTTTGAACTAGGCGTGTGGCCCCATAGTGACGGAAGGAATTTCTTAATGCCTACATATACAGCCGGGTGCAGGATTGATGCATGGTGGGATTACTGCGAATATTTTAAACTTACCCTTACTCGCGGACAATTTCTTCTCAGGGAAAATGAATATCAACCTGTGCAATATCCTTGTCTAAGCATACTTGCAAAATATAATAGTCTTGCTCAACATTATCGTCACCAGCTTCCTCACCGCATCATCATCATCATCATCATCATCATCATCATCATCATCATCATCATCATCATCATCATCCCCAGTTTTGTCAGCATCCACATGAGTATGCCGTAAAATTCTTCTTTATTGTTTTAAAACCGGCAGCCATCTCAAAGAATCACGAAGACCCGCAGATCTTGAAGTAGACCCGCAAAACCCATCAAACGGCCAGTGACTTTACTGGTACCCTTTAGACTCGGGGTGTGTAACAAAACGGAACTGTATCTCCGGGTGCAAACTTACTCACGTTAGAACACGCTTGGCTTGTAGTTTTTTTTGCGGCGTTATTCTGTCTGCCTTTAGCGCCATAATGTTTTCTTGAATATAGCATGCGTATTTAAACTTATTATTTAATAGCGAATAGCTCTTTCTTGTTTGCATATATTTTCTTAACAAATCGTCTATATGGTACTGGAATTACTGAACTACTCAATGAGCTTATCGTTCCCGCAGTTTTAAATATTTCATGCGGCGCTTAAAAGACTCTTAGGGTACTACCAACTCTTTAATTAACCCGCATAGAGGACGGGAAATTACTAGGGTGATTCATCTGCTTCCCCAGTCTTGTTATCCACTCCATTCTACTGATCTAATTAAAGGATTGATCATTTCCTCAACAGCTGAGCCGGTATCCATCCTCTGTGTGCTAATTATTTCGCGTCTTGTTAAATGCTCAATTTTAAGATAGGAAAGAGAAAAGCATGTTTCCTAAATAAAAAGGAATGCTAACGATTAGCGTTTCCTAATTAGCCACGCTGATGCAAAGGCTTTGCCACGAGGTCGCCTTCAAAGTGAGTCTTCTAGATGGCGTTATCAGAAAGAGAGATGTAAAAACTTCCTCAGGGTTTGTGTCCACTGTGTTCATCTTCTTCGTGGCGACCAGTTGCTACTGGTAGATGTTGAGTAACGATTTCGTCGCGAATGGCTTCCAGGAAAATCGTTCTTACCAAGTCAATATTTGGAATAAATTTTCATCGACATAAAAGACTTTGATTGTTTAGACCGTCGAAAATATTGGACTTTGAACGCGCGTATTCCCGGTCATATGAGAACTTATCTTACTTAAGTAGCGTCGGTTGTTTTTATTTATCTACAATATTCCTAAAATTCCAAACGTATTTCATTTAAGTTTACGCAAATAAATTCTTTTTTGTTCTCGTTTTCCATTGTAACGTATATAAGCATTTTAGCAACCAGCAGAAAGGTAATATTTTGATTAAAAGAAGTTTGTTACTTTGGACTTTTAAAAATCATTGATGGTTCAATCAAATAACATCGTACTTTTTTGTTTATCATTATTCCTTCTTGCATACATAACATGGTATGTACCTATTGCACAATTTTATCAGTCCTATACAGTGCTTTTTTAAGAGCATAGGTAGAATAAGGACCAGCCTTAAAGTTATTCGGGAATTTAAAAATGGTTTAAACCAAAAGCTGCTATGTTTTCGAGAAAATTGGATAAAAGTGTAATTTTCCACAAAGTGGGTATAAAAGAGGACATTTTTGTACATATATTCAATAACACTGACTCTGATTTATAAAGCGTATAAGATCAATGCAGTAACCACACTAATTACGTTTTCATCTCGAGTGGACGTGATTTTCGCATAAAACCAAAGACGCACATTCGAAAACCGTTAATATATTAGCATTATGCTGCATGATAAGCTATATTCCAACACTCTACGCGTAGCACTTTCAAACTGAAATCGTATATCAATATCTCATTCACTGCTTTTTAAGTTATCTTACATAATTAACGGTGCAGAATCGTAAACGTACATATAATCTGTAGTCTGACTTTGGCTATTTGACACACTCCCTTTTCATTTGTTCCGCCTATCCCATCACAAAGTCTGGTCAATTTTCTGATTAAACTTGAGAATGTTATAGATGAGAAGACAATGAGTTTTAGGGCGGCATAAGACTGTCGAAGGTGGTCTTTTCCAGTGGTGGTAAATAAACTCGGTAATATGCATCAAACTGTACTAGCTCGCATGACCTTCATTTATTTTGGTTCTCTTCACTGAATAAAACCGTTCTGCTCCTGGGTAATTAAACAATACTAAATTGATTCGAAAGCTTGCCCATGACTCAGCCGCATATTGCAAATTCATTTGCTGTCTGAAGTGGACACTTTCAAGGCTGCAGTACTAACCTGCTCACCCTGATGAATGAAGGATAACTGTTAATGTTTTTTCCCATGTCTTAGAAGAATATGGTAGCAACGGCAGTAAGGTTAATATGCAAGCACTAATCGGTTAGCAGTGGCTTCAAAAATGGAAATAGACCGAAAACTTCATCAGCGACCAGTAGCATAACAACAGGAAAGACACAATCAAAGTGTCGAAAGCACTTTAAAGAAAAAAACGTACTCAGTAGCCTGCCGTCTCCATGCAAACACAAGCCTTTGTTAACCTGCGAATACCTCCGCCAAGCTCGTCTTTAGCCGTGTTCTACCTCCGAAACCTTTGAACATTATGTGTCCAGATTCAAGAGGTTGGCCCCGGTGCAGCGTAAAGCATTCAATTTAATAAAAAGCCTGCGTCCATCATCCTTATCTGAAAATGTTTGCGGAATTGTAATTGCAAATATCTGCTTCGATGGCAACGTTTGCATCAAACCATTCAGTCAGTAGGATAAATCTCAAAATTAGACATAAGATATCTTTTGCATAAAGGACAGGAAATGTAATAGACATTCCGACAGACCAACATCTTGTTTTTTGCCTATTCCGGTATATCAGACAGGCCTCTTATCAGAAAGCATATTCATGCTTGTACATTCTATCAAAAGTTTGATTCAGGTGTAGGACAAACACA